TAGTTATTAGAAGAATGGGCGTTAACGAGAAGACCCTGGTACCAATCCCACTCTGGGTGACAGTTCTTTCAACAAAGTTAATTATTAATATTATTCCAATAGCAAACTGTTCCCTAGAGAGTCATAAGAACTCTTGCCATTCATAAAAGCACTACTGAAAAAAGAGAAAATAATTTGCCCATTGAAATGTTAGTACAGCGGGATGCATCTTTTTCAACTCCAGGAACTTTTAGTGAAAGTGGAAACGAATGATCACGATGCAAAACAATGGTGGTCAAACCAAATTAAATATTCTTGTAATATAAAATATATTCTTGTTCATTTATAATTTATGAGTTATTATTCATTTTACATATTCAGGCCGTTCTTTTTGTGGGCTTTATATTTTTATTTCATTTTTTAAAATCTTTTACGTTAAAACAGCTACAGCTATGTCCTACGTTCTAAGAAGTGAAATTGTGCACTTTATTACATTCTTAGATCTCCAGTCTAACCTATATACAATTTAAATTATGATTATAAGTAGAAACCAGCGTTTTTGGCACAAAATAGTAAGAAAATATTTGTCTCGCGAGTATTAAAAAACATTTGCAAAGGAAAAAAGCTACGGGTATTGTCTATCGTCGTGCTCATCGTGCCCTTCGTGAAGGAATCATACTGACGCGAGAACATGGACAACCTTAATTTCCTTACTTTCGTTTCACACTGAACTTTACAAAATGTGCACAGTTAAGTGTGAAGTTACATTTATGTTCAGAAGCGTCCATGTGCCCATAGTAATACCGTCTTTCTCGCCTAGAAAGGAGCATAGGGAAATTCGCATGGTCAGACGGAAGAGCGGTCCTGACGGCCCGAGTCTCGCCACATAAAATAAAGCATTAACTAATATATTTCTTTAGAATTTTTGTTCCAAGTTTTCTAAGAAATTTGAAGACCTCAGCGACTTATCGCTGTTAGATTTCTGGAAGGAACTTGTCTATCCGTCCGTCCTCGTATCTGTGTCGTCCTCGTGACTGTCCGTCTTCGTGTCTTTCCGTCCTTGTGTAATCCCGCCCGTCCACCCAAGCGCAGTCGCGTAAATCTGTTTCGACCAATGTATTTCAAGGAATTGTGAACGAGGTCACTAATGCCCCGAGAAACCTCACTCTTGATGTGCGGTGTAAATAAACCGTTTCAAATTCCCAAAGGAAGAAGCTTCCGAAAAAAGCAAAAATAATTCATCACAAAAAACAAGACTTTTTCTGTAGAATGGGAAAAAATGTAATTTGTTTTTTTCTATTACTCTCCTTCCGTGTGTCCATCCGTCTATCCGTCGTTCTGTTGTAAGTACTTGAGCTTGAGGGAACTTGAGGGAAATGCTCTAACAACAGTTTCACATGCATACAGTAAGAAATCAACAACATAAATGTTAAGAAAAGTGAAGAGGACGCTTGAAATTTTTCGCCTTCATTTTCCTTTTCATCGCTCCATGTCCTACAGAGTAATGGCAGTGATTAGTGTGTCAGATAAATAAGATACGTGGCCAATGAAAACTGATTTTAATAAAAATTTTCAAGAATGGAAAGAAATCGCTATGTTCAATGGGAATGAAACTTTTTTTGGCGTATGATTGTAATGGAGATTATTATTGAAATGCGATTACAAAATATACTTTTTCTGTAACAAGAACAACGCACACTATTTCTGTAAGATAATTTGCGTATCAATTCAAATCTAATTTCAGAATTTCTGTATCTGCCTCAGTTTTCAAGTGATGATGGTTTTTGTAAATGCGTGTCTCCCTATGTATTATATCTGGCAAAATGACACGCTCTAACAACAGTTTCACATGCATACAGTAAGAAATCAACAACATAAATGTTAAGAAAAGTGAAGAGGACGCTTGAAATGTTTCACAGGTGGCTTGGAATGTTGGGTCAGCATGGAATATCTCCCGCTCTGTCTTTTGAATGTTCGTCACAGCATTAATCTTCTTACCGCCACGTTCTCAATATTTAGTGTTACTGGCAATCTTCTCTGTGACATATAGACCTTAGAGCAGATGGTAGTAAATTATATTACAGTTTTACTCGAATAATTAGCCCGAATTCCTTAACACGGCCGATCTTCCATGTTCCGACCATCTACCTCATCTCCTGAGACGCGCTCTGAGCGATCACTTAGTCTGTCGAGAAGTGCTCAGGAGGTGTGTGCCTCTAAGGAAACTTCAGCCGCGGGGGACACTCATCACAGCACTGGCGGAAACTGGAAAAGAAAAATTCATCTGAACTACCTCTTAAACTCTTAACTCCGTCTCTAATCCTGGAATCTTAATGGGTTTGTCTCCCTCACGAATTAAAACTCTTGCTGTCATGTTATATGCCTTCAATATTTTGTTTTCAACAGACTTTTCTTGTTCCTTCACACCCCGTTTCATCCGCATCATTTCGCAGTTTTACCGCGGTTGATGTCGACGACTGCGTCCGCGCTCATGGCGGATTTGTCACTTTGACGACTCGTTGTTTTCTGCCGATGTACCTGTTCAGACCAACCTTCGGCGTGTGTCTGTGCTGGTGCACCTCCCATTCCTTATGCTGTCTGTAACATTTACATCCCCTCAGGACGAGCGATGTAGGTCGATGACTTCCTACACCTAATAAACCAACTGCCCTCACCCGTTTCGATTGTTGGCCGGGTAAACACCCACAGACCTGTTTGTATTCTTCCCGTACGTGTCAAAGAGGCGTCGTTCTGGAATTGGTCATCGACCGTACCAGCGAATAAAAATACTGGTGAACCAACGCCTTTCGTCGTAGCTACGAATTCAAGCACGGCTGTTGACGTAGCCCTTTGCAGCCCTTCATTTGCAACCGCTATGCAGTGGCCCATATTAGACGACCTGTATGGAAGCACCATTTCCCTATTGTTGTCAACAATGATCCCCACAATGGATCGTGTAACGTGCTGATTGGTCTACATTTCAAGCTAATATTGACCTATCAGATAGTCCCTTTGACGATGTGACCGGAATAGCTGCACATTTCAATAGCGCTATACTCTTTGTTGCATCCCAAATCCCAATTCCAATTCCCAAATCAACCAGTAAACCGCGACACTCCTTTGTCCCGTGGTGGAATCTGAAATACTATAGAGCGTTCAGTGGTCGTAAAAAGCACTGGCACGAATCGAGCATTATCCAACTGTGGATAACCTCATCGGATACAAAAGATGCGGGGCGATGGCGAGGAGAACAATTTCAGAGAGCAAAAATGCATCGAGGAGAGTCCAGAGCAGTGCAGAAATCTGCTCAAACCAATCCAGTGCGCATTCAGAAAACACCGATCAACTCTCGACCATCTCATTGAATTGGCAACATAAAATTTCAACGTCATTCGTTTATGAGAGAACACATTCTGCCGTCCTATTTGGTATAGAAAAGGTCTTCGAAACAACTTGGAGGTACGACGAACTGCGAACCAGGCACTCGTGGGGAGGAATAACTAGGAGGCTCGACCTATTTCCCCAACATTTTCTATCGAGTAGATCTTTCCGAGTTCGTGTTGGCGACAGTCTATTATACTGTGAATTCGTTGCAAAATCCTTAAGTGAAAAAAAGCGTTTTTTTGAGCGGTGTTATTTAACGAGTTTTTATTAAACGGTTTTATTGAGCGGAATATGCTTGTCAACGAATTTTTGGCTGTGGTAATGGGCACGTTATCCTGCAACAGTTTTATGATCATCACACATTCCGAATATCTTTACCTTTAATCTAGCCAGAATTAAAGTTTAAAATCTCTGGAAACGGGATTTGTTTGCACCTTTTCGTTTTATATAATTTGGTTTTCGTTTTTATGGTTTTAAATTATGTCATGGACGCCAATGACCATAGGTGTTAAAGTGCCCTTTATAAATCAGTCAATATATTGCATGAATTCCGATGTATATTCAGATACGTCATATACTAAGAATAATCCATTATTAATATTTGTTAGTTTATCTTTGTCAGTGCGTTCCCAATTACATGTATTTTCATCATTATAAAAAACTGTGAATTATAATTTTTGCAACAAATAATTTCGCAAAATTGTCATAAACATTCAACACAGAATGCTTTGGAAAATTCCGTTAGTTGGAAATTTGATCGTTCCCAGTGACTGCAACATAGCACTAGCTGTCTTGGAACTAACTGACATGCTGTACGACAAGTCGTCTTACGACCATGTATGTAGCGATGTACAACGTTTCTTTAAGTGCTCCGCCTAGTGTTTCGACTATTTTGTATGGTGAATTCCAGTACATTTGGAAATAAGCAGAGACTAGTTAGTTGCTTGTACAGAATTTGCAGTCCAGAACCCCGATATTGATATTTCCTTTGTCTCCACATCAGATGTCTAGATGTCCGCAAACCACTCCACCTTTAGTGCGTGGCAGAGAGAGTGCCGCACTTATATTGAGTTTGATTGATCATTCTGTAAATCTTGGGTCGTCATCCCGGATGGACGTGGGGACGTAATTTTATACGTCATAGGATTGGGTATTGCAAAACGTCGCATGGTGGCTTAAAGAACCGACGACCGGAGAAGCGAGACTAGGTGAAGCACGTCCAACTCCATGTTAGGAATATTGTGAAAGTAGCTGCTGTGGTTATCTGTCGAACTTTCTACAAGTAGTACCTGTCATCGAAGCCCTCGCATTCAGACATTTTCTTCTTGCAAGCCACTGGATTACATCAAAAGATTTGAGTGATGTGGGCGGTTTTTTTATTGTAAACACGACTTAATTTAACTCGTTAGTATATATTATTGTGAATATGGAATTTATTATGTTTTATGCATTTTATTTTGTGTAGACAATTTTAATATTTTACCCTTTTCACAGCTTTTAAGAAAAAAATACATGTGAGCGTAAATGATCATAGAAGTTCACGCGCCTTTAAGACTCACTCAGTCATTCAGGCTTTGAATGGAATTTTAGTTTTGGGATGAAAAGTAACTGAACGTGTGGTTCTATTTTTTTTACAGATATCGGGCGCGAAATCGGAAATGTGTAGTGAGGCCAGCCTCAGGATTTGGTAAAGTTGCCGATTCTAATGTAGAAAACACACCGGAGTTCCATAATGCAGACAAAGTGTTTGTACAGACAGATGATTTACTTTACTCAGCAACAACACCGACAATTACTCCTGCTCCGTTTGAGAATTCGGTTCTCAGAGAAGGTAAATGCCTGGATATTTTTGTTTGAATGTGTTGCATGATCCTTGTATTTTCCTAGAAATCCTTTATTTTGATATTTTTGTTGCAAATTGAGTGTTATGTTTTATACTATTTATGGTGATGTATTTTAGCAAACTACACTTATTGGTGCTGTAAGAGCACATACATTCCCGAATATTTGTTTACATAAAGGGTTGACAGCGAATCTATAAACCATGGAAGAAACTATTTCTACTACTTGCTCATATTCAAATAGTCCAAGTATTCAGTAAAATACATGTTTTAGTTCAGTTGATGATAATGAGCTTTGGAAACAAGAGTGTAAGGAAAGATGTTATATGGATGCTTCAGGTCTGCGAAGCCCTTGTGTCCGCTCGACTCTCGGATAACACGATTCCATGCCCTCCCCAGTGCGAGAATTCGTTGGCAATAGGTAGCTTGTGCACAGATAAGAGATTCTCAGGGTAAGGGACTCCCAATTTCCGAGTTTTCGACTAGCGGTCAATGTCAACTTCTTTTGATGTGTTTGGCGATGTAGCTTGCTGTTTTTTTTCGAGAGAACCGTCCAAGAAGTGGTCCCACTCGTAACACTTCACCTACATGATAAACAGATAGAATTTCACCTTGTATCTTAGAAGGGCACTGGCGAATTTCTAGCTATTTACTTTAACAAATACATTTCTTAAAGTGAAAGAAATGAATTTATTAGTTCTACGTTAAAATTAATGTATTGCCTTCCTTAAATCCATTTCCTTTCATAATAATGTTGTCTACACCGTACAAATGACAACAATCACAAAACTTCTGTACATTTCCGGCCGCCGCATTGACATTTTGCAAACGACATTTTAACGCGTCAAATGACATTGAAAATTCCCAAGTCTAAGCAAGTGAGATGTTTCATTTGAATACGCTTTGAGTGCACATATGCGCCTTTCTATGGTCCGACAAATGTACATGATGTCCATTTAAAATGTACATTACATCAATAAGTACAACTTTTTTCTTAACGGCCATAACGACTTTTGATCAGTGTGATCTAAGGAACAACATTCTACGTTTTCAGATAAGTTGTGAACAAGTAAATTTCTTTTCCTGACATTTTTAAATATAATGTAGCCTAAAGTGTCAGGCAAATAAGGCTTTAATAAAACGACAGATGTAGTTTTTAATTTTATATTAATGCATAATTTCCACGAAAAATTCAGTCGTAGTCATTGAAAGGCAGTGATTTTATTTCCTGAGACAAACTGATTCTATCTTACTTTTTAATCAAAGATAAAAGAAGTGTTGGTCAAATTGAAAATTGTAAAAAATTGTTTAGCCAATTATACAAAGAATGACCCACATACTACATGCAAATTCTCTATAAACAGCATATTTCGTTTGCATAAAACTGTTCACTCACCTTATGGAAAAACATTTCTAAAAGCGATATTTGAATTACAGAATGAAAATCTGTAGAACAGTGTTACCTGAAATACAAAAAATATTGTACATATCTTCAGTAAGGAAAGAGACATTAAATTATACTTTTGCGTTAATGAATGAAGTAATAAAATTTTGCATTCCTCTGCACCTCAATTGTATTATTACCAATGCTCCTTTGTTCGTTATTGTTCTTGCGGGAAGATTTCCCTAATACTATTTCTGTTTCCCAGAAGGTAATCGAACATACTCAATTTAGTTCAGTATAATATTAGATGAAAATCGTGTTTTAGCCTTCTCATAAATTTGAACAAGTACCATTTGTACATAATATTTGCATTGCGTATAAAACAATATGAGAGTGCATGTGAATCGAAATGTGGCCGACGTTTCTCACTTCACACCCATCTGCAGCCACATTATCGTGCAAGTGCAGTGTGTAGGGGAGCACGCGTGAGTGTAGGTCTAGGGATACTGGAGCTCAAAAAAGCCTCCACATTTTACCTTCCCCCTATACGAGTGTTTGGGTCATATATAAATAAATAGATAAATAAAATAAATATATCGTAGTAATTTAGTACCTACAGGTGCGTTATTAAAAGCGCGTTACATGACTTTTACTGATGATTTTGGTTACAGACGTCTATCTTGATTGCATTGAATGTCTATCTTGAATGCAATGAGTAGCTGCCCAAAGGTGTCATGAATTATATTTACTCCGTCTTAGCACTTCGTTTAAGGAAAAAATACGAAGTTAAAAGACTTAGTAGGCCTACATCACTAGATTTCCTTCATCTGTTTAAGTGGCCTTCACCTATTCAAGAAAAACTAAATCGTTCAACAGAATTTTAATAATGATGGGTGCAATATTGGTATATTATTGGTTTATGGTTGTGATAAACATACTGTTGTGCTCTGTATAACGATAAAAACTTCAGTGAGGGAGTTCTTAACACATTAGTGCTGATGAAAGAGAGGAAAGCTCATTTTTTTCCACAATTAGTAAGTAAATCTATAATTTCGCTTACACTCTATTGAAAAACAGGATGAAAAATTAGAAGACCTTCATTACTTTAAAGAAAGTTGATCAACACAGAGTAATAACGAGTTTGAGAATCATCAAACCCCACAATTTCAATTAAGGAACTTTTTTCCCTCTCATTTAAATAATTTTCCATTGTGTTACTCCATCACCATCACCTCATTTCCATAAGATTTGTGCGGGATTCTTTAAAAAATGTCCGTTTCCCGTAAAATTTCGCAAACAAATACTCATGTTCCAAATATTGAACATGATCTTAAGTGAAGATTTTTCTGATCATCACATTTCATTTAAAAATTATCTTCATTAGTGCAGTTGTAGGAAGACGGCAAAAAATTGGAAATTTTGCAATTTTCGAAAAATCAGGGATTTCAACGCAAAGACTGCACCATTCTCTTAAGCGTCCTTTGAGCTATCCGATGTCAAAATGTAATAAAAAAATTGATGTCTCTTTTAAACATATCCCTGGGGCGTCATGTAAAATACGAGTAAAATATCGGTTTCATATTCAAGGGTACGGCGGCATCAGCCGCATCGATTGGGGAATGTATATTTTGGTGAAAATCCTACTTACGGGTTAGCCGCTAGCGTTGTTCACAGAGAGACATTTCGCCGTCAATCGATTTTTCGATATCGAGGACCCGCAAACCATAAAGTCTTACTTGCTCTAACAGAACGTGTTGGAGCAAGTATTTTACTACTTATATGATCAAGATTTATCTACTTTTTCGATACCAAAACCCGGCAGTAAAATGTTTTCTGTCGAAAATTCGCCGTCTTTTTTCCCGCATCATTACAATCCTTTCTCTATACTGCTTAAGCAGTAGCAAGAAAGGAAAAATTGCTTTCGTGTCGTTTTTGAAAAATCTAAAGAATAAATGAAAATTTAGTATGTGCATGCAGCACCATCCGCAACCCAAGTTCATCGAAAAAATTGGGAGCCGTTTAAGAGAAAATGTCAATTGAGGGTTTCTGAAAACGCACAATTTTGAAGCTCATTTTCTTAGAAAAATTTTGCGTTTTCGGGAAACGTCTTCAGAAATTATTTGGAGGACTTGTTCTCACAAATGTAATAATGTATAAAGAAAAGCCTCAGGTTGGCTGCCTGCTTCCGTAAACGAGGCTCGCCGGCAGCATCCTCGGAGTTTACAGCCTCCGGTATTTTTGGCTCTGCGGCACTACCTGAGTCAACCGCCCGAGCGCAAACTCCGGATGTTCAGGCTCAACCCCTTCCTCCCCCGCAGCGTACTTTCACCAACCTAACGGTTCTGGCCCTCGTGTTAACGACGCCACAACATCCTCACGTGCCACGGTGGAATGCCGACTGTGCCACCGCGGTGCGTGATCGGAAGCGTACGAAGCTTAGTAGGTTCCAAATCGTTGATAATCTGATAAATTATAAGATCCCTAGGCAGAGGTAGATTGACCATTGCGGAAAGTAAGGCCGCGTCCTAGAGAGCTTTCACTTCATGACTCTTGCCGTGCCCCTAAAGTGGCGAAAGGTTCAACAGATCGGTGGAAGACTTCTTCGCTTCCTGTCTCAGGGCTTCTGGTAAGTGGAAATATCTCACCAAAAGATGTAGTTGACGACTTGGCCACTCACTATGAGCATATTTCCAGCTCCGTGCACTACCATCATGGCTTTCTAACCATCAAAAGAAGAATGGAGAACTGCTGACTAGATTTTTAGAGTCGCGTGGAGGATGATTACAATGCTCCTTTCTCCGTGGATGGATTTTTCTGTGCTCTTGCTTGCGCGAAAGATTCTGCTTCAGTCCCAGGAAAATGCTCCTTCTTTTCTCCTCCGCGTTTTGAATCTGATTTGACTTGAACATGCCGTATAAAGGATTTCGTGTGAAGCCATTGCTATTCCAATCCCTAAGAAGGAAAGACCCCCTCAAGTTACCGCCCAATTTCACTCACTAGCTGAGTGTGCAAGTTTTCATAGCGTATGGCAAACACGCCTGATCTGGCTCCTGGAACAAAAAAAAATCTATTTACGCTTTTTCAATGTGGTTTTGGGAAGTACAAGTCAACCATGGGCCCCTTGGTCTCCCTTGTCACACAGATCTCCACTTTCATGTTACGATAACACCCGGTAGCAATTTTTTTCCACACAGAGAAAGCGTATGCCACCTGGGGGACGGCATTCTTCGCACCTTACATTCTCGGTGTCATAGGTACGGCTTCCTTTGTTTCTAGTAGATTCTTTCGTCACGGTAATTCCGCGTCCGCCTTGATGCCGCATTGTCAAGTCACGTCACCAGTTGGAAACCGGTGTTTCCCGGAGATCAATTCTGAGTTTCATTCTGTTTGCCGTAGCAATCAATAGTATCGCATCAGTAATTCAAGACCCTGTGAAAGCATCACTCTTCGTTGACGTATTTGCCTTAATTTGCTGCTCTAAGTGCATGCAAGTTATTGAGAGGTAGTTTCAGCTTGTCCTGAACAAACTGCAAGAATGGAGCGATGAAACTTGATTCAAGTTCTCCACCTCAAAATCCAGTTGCATGCTCTTTTACAGAATTCATC